TAATGGTGATTAATGGTGATTTTCATGGTGATTAATGGTGATTTCCATGGTGATTTTCATGGTGATTTTCATGGTGATTAATGGTGATTTTCATGGTGATTAATGGTGATTAATGGTGATTTTCATGGTGATTAATGGTGATTTCCATGGTGATTAATGGTGATTAATGGTGATTTTCATGGTGATTAATGGTGATTTCCATGGTGATTAATGGTGATTTCCATGGTGATTAATGGTGATTAATGGTGATTTTCATGGTGATTAATGGTGATTAATGGTGATTTTCATGGTGATTAATGGTGATTTTCATGGTGATTTTCATGGTGATTAATGGTGATTTCCATGGTGATTAATGGTGATTAATGGTGATTTTCATGGTGATTTTCATGGTGATTAATGGTGATTTCCATGGTGATTAATGGTGATTAATGGTGATTTCCATGGTGATTAATGGTGATTTCCATGGTGATTAATGGTGATTTTCATGGTGATTAATGGTGATTAATGGTGATTAATGGTGATTAACAGCTTTATTGTGGGTAAAACAATGTCATAAACCACCCATGACTGGGAATGGTTACCATATTTTACCATACAACCTATAAAAATGGTGATGACTGGGGGATGGTTTATTGTTCTTGTAACGACAATACATCCATAATTGCTTGATGGTTAACCATGAACAATAGGGATCGGGATCCATAATTGATGGTTGGTTCACCATCAACAATAATAGGGATTCGAGTGTTTGATGAAACCTGCCAATGCCATCCAATGTTTAGGGAGTAAGTGGGATACAGCACAGGATTCCCCAGGATCCATCCGCAGGAGTCACACGCCTGCCAAACGTCAAAGGCTGCAGCCGAAGAAAGGGATGGGCGAAGTTCACATATGCAGGCGACCTTTGCAAGTTGTTTTTGGTCGTCATTGGGTTCATGTCAGGGTAAAATTGCAGGAAAACACTGTCTCTTTCCGCGCAAACACGGGAGCTTTACTGGAAATTATCTTTTGGGCTGAAAGCAATTCTGGGAAACTAACTCGCATGCTGTTCCACAAGTCGTCTGGAAAAAAGTTTGACAAATCAATTATATAGTGGTTTCCTAAAATGGGGGGTACCCCTATTAATGGATGGTTTATAATGGAAAATCCCAAACAAAAGTGGATGATCTGGGGGTGCCCCCATGGATGAATGACTCAGACCCACACTTCGGTGTGCAGAAATTCCTCAGCGCGGCGCCCATTCAACTTCCATCAACTGGAAGATCTGGAAGATACGGTGGTGACTTGTCTGACAGGGTCCCTGCAAGAAGGTGGTTCGATCATCAGTTTCCCCAATTTTTAAAAAAAAACTGAAAATGGAAAAACAAAACATGGGGAATTCCAATTCTTGGGAGAAACCTTGATTCGACTCCCAGCAACGTCTCCTATTGTTTTATTTTTTTTAACCAATCCCCCAATTTCAATTTCAAGCACAATCTCCCCAGTTGGATCCAAGCATCTGCCGACTCCCAGCGCGCCGCTAAGCTTTTGCTGATAGAGGAGCCCAGGAAGCGACTGGTGAAGGGAATACGCAAACGCGCCCTGGCGGAGATGGCTGGGGTTTCATCCTCCCTCCATAGCAAAAATGAAATGGTGGACTTATGGTGGATTTAAGTACCAGGGGGAAGGGATTAGTGATGATGAATAGAAATGACAAAGCTTAATAGGGTCGATCATCCAATTCTGGTCACTTGGCTTAGGTAGGACCATGTCCATTGAGGCATACGCCAGGTTTCACTAATTATGATGACTGCTACCAACCGAGTCATTCGCTCATGGCTTTGTCTGAAAATATCATATCCCAAAAACAAATGAGTAATTCTGAGTAATCACCATTTTCCCATTCACGTCTCAATTCTTGGGTATACCATGGAATACCCCAATGTTCAAACAGCCAGACCCAAGTCGCCCATCACAACCCAATGTTCCGGCCTCAGACTCTGACTGTCTGGCTGCAAGTACGATAGGTCCACCTGTTTTGTCTGGCTGAGTCTCGGGGTTTGAATCTGGCGAAAATCCGTCTTTTCTGACGTACCAAACTGGCCTTATTCGCCGTTGAAATCATTGGCGAATCAGGAGTTTTATTATCTTTTTTAATGGGCCGTTTGCCAATAGTTCTGTTAAATAACCAGAGGGTACAAAGGTTGACCAACCTAAAATCAGCCGATTTGGCCATGATACCCCTAACCATCATCTATAGATATCCTTTTTCTTGGAAAACCTCGTGGCATCAGCATCGAAACCCAGCAGTGCAGCGTCCTGCCTGAGGGCCAATATCATCCACACCATAGACCTCACCAGGGCCCTTGGAAATGCCTGGGCATCCTTTTTTCACATCCCCTATATATCCTATATTAAACAGCCCCCAAGTTATGGGCCCAAACATATGATTTCATATCATCCCCTACTAAACTAAACCATGCTTTCGTTTGGGGGTGAGTAGTCGATCAATCCAATTTTTCAGGCGTTGCCCAAAAATGAGGTACATCCCAAATCGCCCAAATCCACTGGTTAATCATGAATGTTAACCCCTGATTCATCAACCCTAGTCTACTAGTCAGAATGGTTTCCCCCGAAATAGTAACAATCTGCTACGAACTAAAATGTCACACCCCCCCGAAAAAAAAAAAAAAAAATGTTATTAATCCGGGTTTGACATTAACCGCTCAGGGTCCGGAAACCGCAACTTAGTTCTACACGTCACGTTTTTAAGGAATATGTTCATTGATCCCATCCCCCTCAAAAAATACACCCCAGCCCTACTAAACCAGGCTCCCCTGGCCTCCAGGTTACCCTGGAACCGCAGGGCGGTGGTGGGCCATAGAGTGCCCGCTCCCTGGCATTGGCTTGCAAAAAAATTGAAAGGAACCTCCATTTTTGCACCATTATACGAAATTAATCCAGATTATACTATATTATACTATACCCCCTTTTTTCCATTGTTTTCAATATCACATTATTGTAGCTATATCATGCTACTGTGTATCCCATGCCAATATTGACAGGTAAATTTTGACAAAATGTGATAAGCCATTGGCATTGGGGTATCCCTGCAAAAAAGACAGAGAGAGCCAAAAAAAATGACCTGCTAAAAATGCACATATTCGGCATGTTTATACTAGTATGCATTATCACACATCAACTAATGGGTAGCTGCGCATTGGCTGCGCCTGGGGTTCAAGCTGCAAACGGCCTCGGCGGCCTCACTTCAACGGCAACGAGCCACCCCAGCCATCGCACATTGGAGATTTCCATAGTTTCTACTTGACATTGAACATATAGGTTAGGGAATTCAATGGTAATTCAATGTTAATGATAATTCAAAGTGGTTATTCAATGGTGTTGTTTCATAGGTTTCCAATAACCATTGAACATCACTGAACCGCGCCCAGCGACCATGCGTCTCTGCTGGATGCAGGCGAAGGTCATGGATGGGGTGACCACCACCTGAGCCAACCGCCACCCTTTTTTCGCAGTTCTTGTTATTTCGATGTGACAAAAAACAACAACTGTTATATGATGTTATATTGTAACAATAGTTTCCAGATTGATTCTGATTGTTGTTATAATGAAGCGCACGAAATCAGCGCTCAAGTTTTCCAATAGATTTTGGAATCAGATTCAGCAACCAACAATCAGAATCAGATGTTCTGCAGAAAAATACCTTTAGCAACCCCCAAAACGATACAGAAAAGTTGGAAACCTGGAATTGATGGTGAAAACATCATCGTTCCGCATCTTTTTTTGGGGTGTGAATGGGGTAAATCCAATCATAGACCTACCAATTTGTGGATTTGTGGATACCGCAATACCTCCCATCTATGCCAATCTTGCGGATGGTTTATGGCAGGCTTACCACATGATCCCAATGATCCACTATTCTTGGTTATACCACTTATACCACTTATACCCTCACCATGCAGAAGCTCAGCACCCAGCGGTTTGAGATGAGAACCTGGAGCGGCAGCTGCTCCAAGTTACTGTGGGCTGGACAAAAAAAAATCGATGATGGCTGGGAAACAGGACTTTCACTGAATCTAACTGTGTGTGTTTAGATTGTTTATCAATTTTGGAGCGGATTAGTGGATTCTGGTCATGGTCAAGTCTATGCTCAAGTTCCCGAGAAGTTGCATGGAAATTCCTTTAAGACAGATTATATATGTCTGAATTGACCATCTGTTTTCCAACTCAGTTTGCCGCGTGTTCAGCTCTTTAAAGAGGTCTTCAGACGGGGTATGGCTCGAAATTGGGGGTGTCGACCTACAAAATTGATGACTTTGGGGTACAACTATCAATGTGGTTGGGAAACTCAATTCATAGCTCCTTGGCTCTCCATTTGAAAATACATAGCCATGGATAGCCATCGCTCCGAAGTGATCCCTCCTTTCTTTTAATGCCTCGAAATGGAGTTTTCGTCGAGATCCGGCGCTGGATCCGGGAAGAAAGTTCAGGTGGAGCAAGACCTGACCAGGACGCTTCGAAGAAAACATCAGAAAGCAGTACCAGTATCTGGCAGTGTCTGGTGAAAACGCGCTAAACCAAGGGAAAAGGATGGAAAAAGGAATAAACAAGTATACATATAATATTTATATATATATAATTATATATATATATGTGCGTGTGTGTGCGTGTGTGTGTTAATATATATATATGATGTATATATATGTTAATTTGGAAGTTGCTGCCGATGTGTTGCAATGAGGTCCAACTATGAACATGTGCGTGGCCGACGCTGTGTGGATCAAAGGGCCCTTGGGCCAGGTGCAATCCGCACTTGGCGTACGTTTGCAGGTGGAAGGAAAATAGATTGGGCGCTGCATAGCGCGAACCGTTGCCTGTTCATCATGGTAGCGGAGCTGTAAGCTCCAGCGGTTCCTTGCCGTACACCGGAAGGTGCTTCACTGCACCTTGGCTGTGGCGCCTCGCAATCATTGCTTGTGGCGCAAAGCACAACTGGTCCTATGGACTATCGTGATCCTTTTAAGGATTTGACCTTTGACGGTCGCCCTGGTCAGTACCGAGAGTTCAGACGGAAGGTGATTCTATCCGTAGCTGCACTGGAAGACAAGAACCAGCACTTGGCAGGACCGAAGCTTTTGAGTTGCCTGTCAGGTGAAGCTTGGAGATGCACCGAACACCTATCTGTTGCTGAGCTACGTTCTGACAAAGGATGGCTGCTCGTTTTGGATACACTGGATAAGCACTATAGACACTTGCCTGAGGTAGAGCTGCATGAGTCAATAGATGAATTCCTTTTCCATTTGAAGAAACGACCAGCTGAAGGAACAACAGCATTTTCAGCTAGGTTCAAGACCGCCTTGAGTCGCCTGGAAAATCTGATACAACAGGAACGTGAAGCTGCACATGCCAAACGCCGCAAACGTGGTGATTCCAAGCGTCGTTTGGAGCCTGCATCACCTGTTGCCAGTTCCTTGGAAGATTCTGATGATTTGCCACGCCGGCAATCGGAAAGTGCTGAACATACCGATGACACCGATGAGAATGTCGAGCCTCCTGCTCAAGCTGAACCGGAAGTGCCTGAGCCACCACCAGCCCAGGCCAAAGCCTCAGGTGCCGAACCTTCGGAGCCTCAGCCGAAGGCAGTGCCACGACGTGCCCCTTCTGCTGCATCTGAATTTGCAAGTGGTAGAGATTCAGTTCGCAGTTCGATGAAGGGTTCCAAGAAAGCCAAATCAACCACTGGTACTGAGAAAGGAGATGTCGACAAAGCAAAGCAAACAATGCAGAGAATGCTTGGCACCCTAGAGCCATCACACAGAAAGCCAAAGCCGATTTTCCCTCAGTCTGTTCTTGGACACCTTTTCATGCGGAAGTTTGGATTGAATCGTGAGCAACGCACTTTGGTGATTCGTTCAACTGGTGGTAGTTCCCGATTTTTGGATGCGGAAAGAATTTTGCGTGCCTCAGACTTGGAAGACCAACGAGAAGACCGCAAACCACCCAAGATCCAACTGAAACCTGGACGCCGTGAGGCGTATGCTGTTCAAGAACAAGATGATGAGAGTTCCTCCATCGACATGCCCATCAGCGATTCAGGCGATGATGATGCCGAGGTCTACATGGGTGAGGACAATGGGGAAAATGATGAAAGTGAAGATGAGTTGGCTGAAGTGTTTGAAATGCAGAAAAAGGCAAAAAGGGATTTCCGTAAGAACTACAAAACATACAAAGAGACCAAGAAAAAGGTCAAAGAGATAAAGAAATCCAGAGCTGGCCCATCAACATACTATCCAGTTGTCGCTGTTCCACCCGATGGTTCTGCAGCTGGTAGCTCACAGGGTTCAACTCTCAAGCCCTTCAAGCCTGATTCCAAAGTTTCCAAGAGGAAAGGTGATGGTAAAGGTCCCAAGTCATCTGGAAGAAAAGAAGATGTAAATCTTACACAAGCCGAGATCGCAAGCCATTTTTCCTACATGATCACCGAGTTCAACCTTTCCTGCACAACTGATTCTACAGCAGATGATGTGTTTTTGGCCTCCATTCCTCAGGGATATGCCATCGTTGACACAGGTTGTACCACGTCAGTGATAGGTTTGGAAACCGCCAAGAGCCTTGTCGAGCACTTCAAGGAGAATGGGTTTCCGCCTCCAGTCGAGGTCAACCTGCCTGCTCTGGAGCTGAAAGGTTTTAACGGGAAAACAGAGACCACCACTGCCGGTCTCAAGTGGACATGTTGTTTGGGAAAATTGCAGGGCCAAATCACCACATATGTGATTCCTGGTGTGACACCGTTTTTATTGTCACGAAGAGTTCTGGAAGCCATGGAAGCTGTTTTGGATTTGAAACATCATACAATTACAAGCGAGAAACATGGACTTCACCAAACACCTCTTCGTCAAGCCTCAAACGGTCACCTGCTTTTGCCCCTGTTCACTCCGACCGTTGATCTGGAAGTGGCAAAATGCGATCATCAAGTACAACATGAGCCCAATACAATCAGCGATGATGTGTCCGAACCAGTGGACATTGAGACACCTGTAGAGGACATGGCTCCCCCGTTGCAGAAGCCTCAACATGCCAATAAGGGTAATAACCGGGGAAATAAACGGGATACTCCATTAGATAAGAAACGTTGGTTTCAAGGGATGGTGAAAAATACCAAAAATGGGGTAATAGATGTCACAGAACATGCCGAAGCCTTGTCAAAAGTGTTTGATGTTTCCAAGGGTTCTATCACATATGCTGCAGTGGCATATAAGCCAAAGAAAGAAAGAATGCCACCCACTGCCGCTCAGGTAGCCTATAATGTTCTGTTGCCAACCTCAACTCACATGGAATCATGGATGTGTCGCCCTGGAGGATCAGAAGCCCTTCAGAGGAACGCCGACCTGTGAATCCAATGAGCGTTGCCATTTTTGCATTCCGGCATGTTGACAGTGACCATGTCAAATCACATGAAGCTGCCTGCGCATCACCCACCGATGCTGAGCATGAACATGTTGCCAGTTGTGTATGTTGTTGTGAAAGTGAATCTAATCCAATTCCCAACAAGGATAATGAACTCCCAGTAGAAGCACTCTATGAAGATGTAAGTTGGGTTGAATTAGATAACAAACTGCCCATGACAGACAGCAGTGTCCACAACTTGAAGAAAAGCATTGGCTCCTTGCGCAAAGCCAGTCTTCGCCTGGTCCTGTCCCGTCTTGCCACAAATCCGAAGCAAGTCCGTGCCGAGCTGAAACAATGGCTTGGTGATCAAGCTTCCAAGTTGGATTGCAAAGTTGGTTTGATAGAGGTTTTCACTGGCAGAGCACGTTTGTCCGAAGAGTATGAGAAACAAACTGGAAAGGCGAGCATCCGACTTGGTCTGCAGTATGGCCAGGACTTCACGAAGTTGCATGATCGTAGATGCCTCCTTTAGCTGATAGCCCTTTGCCGACCAGAGCATGTATGATTCAGCTTCCCATGCAAGCTTGGGGTCCTTGGACACGACTCAACATGAGTAAGAGTGATAAGACTTTTGAGAAGATCATGAGTGACAGAGCTGTTGCCCGTCGTTATCTCCACAACGTGTCCGAAGCCTGGAACCTGCAGTGTGCTCTAGGAGGTCATGCCCACATAGAAAATCCATTAGCATCTCAGGCTTGGGCCGAGTTGACTTTGGATGATGCCTGGGAAGTTAGGGTTGATCAGTGTGCGCTTGGTCTTCGTTCTCCTAAGACCAAAGCACCAGTTTTGAAGCCGACAAAAATTGTGACAACCGACCAAGAGTTGGCTGCCGGACTTGTAACTTGTCGGTGCGATGGCAAACACCAGCACGAGCATCTCGCAGGTAAATATCAGGGTATCAACTTGACCAGTTGGGCAGAAACATACCCCGTAAAGTTTTGCAAACGTCTTGTCCAATACTTGCGCAATAAGCCTCCCAAGCATGTTGATCCAAGCATTCATGTTGAAGAAGTTCTTGCAGAAGATGACGAAGAATTGGAACAGCTTGATTCAGGTGAGCAAGATTCAGAGGGCGCTTTGCAAGACCCAACTGCCTTAGAAATGCGCAGAGCCAGAGCACTTGTGCATAAAGTTCATGTCAATACTGGACATTCATCCCCTGAACAACTGCGAAGATTAGCTCTGAGGTGCCAGTCATCCGAAGCCATCATGCGTGCAATTAAAGAGTTCAAATGCTCCATTTGCGATGAGCTGAAGAACCCGCCTTTGTACAGAAAAGCCACCATCCAGCATGCAGAAAGCCCAAATCAAATTGTTGGATTGGACTACGTACAGGTGGAATTGCACCGTGAAGACTCAAATGGTAAGATGGTTGAAACCAAACGCAATGTGCTCACTGCAGTGGATATGGCATCCGGTTTTGCTCAGCAAATTGTTGTGCCGCCTGGACCGCATGGTTTGTCGAAGGCCTTCCATCAAGTTTGGTGCAGACCCTATGGCCATCCGAAAGTTGTTTTCATGGATCCTGACCACAGAAACATATCCAGTGATATGCAACGTTTTCTGATTCGCCATAACATACAGCTGCTCCATACTGCTGCTGAAAGCCATTGGCAGCTTGGCCAAGTGGAAGTCGCAAACCGCATCCTGCGTGGCATGGCCCAAAGGGTTTGGAGATCTTTTCCCGATGCGTCTCCGGAAGAGGTCATTGAGACATGTGCAACTGCTCGTAACGAACAACTGAGACGTCATGGTTTTTCGCCTGCCCAATGGTTTTTAGGTAGAGAATCAAGACATGCAGGTGCCCTGTCCGACATGTCAGAGCAAATGAATCCCATGACACAGTCCCAAGCCTTAGTGGACCCACAATTTGCCGACAGCCTCAAGCTTAGAGATGAAGCAGCAAAGGCATTCATAGAAGAGCATGCAAAAGACACTTGGAGAAGAGCAATAGCTGGTAGGAATAGACCTATGCGCGGTCCCTATGTCCAAGGTCAACTGGTTTACATGTTCCGCCGTCAAGGCAAAGGGATGATAGCCACACGACATGGTGCATGGATAGGCCCAGGAAAAATCATTGGGATGGAGAGTTCAACTGATGGTCCAATACCCCGTCTCATATGGGTTTCCTTCAATGGGTTTCTCTATAGATGTTCACCTGAAGGGTTACGACCTCTTCCAGAAGATGAGGCTGCATTCCGAAAGCTGACAAAAGAACTTGCAGTCGGCCAGTTGTCTCCCGACTTGGAACGTGCTGATGACCAGCTGCGTGCAAAAGGCTCCTTTGGCCAGTATGTAGACCTTGTGCCACATGTCCCTGCTGAATCAGACATGGAGTTAGAAGATGATGTAAAAAATGAACCCCATAAAATAGAGCATGATTCAGAGGGCGGGCCCCATAAAATAAGGAGAAGGTTTTACAGAAGTGAAGAGTACTGGCGAAAGCGCGCTGCTGGCATGCCTCCTGCCGGAGCATTGCAAGAAGGCCCACAACCTGATGTGCACCAAAGCATTCAGGATTTGCCGCTTTCCAGTGAGCCTGCTGATGATGCTGAGGAACCACAAGAAAAACGTAGAAGAGTTGAAATCAACAGTGATGCAGAAGAACAATTCTATGAACCCTCAAATGAAGATGATGTTGAAAGTTCACCGTATGAACCATCACTAGGTCCAGATCCTCCAGCAGAAACTGCAGAGCCTCATGGATCCGAAATGGATGCCTCCAACACTGAGCAACCAGTTGAAACTCCCGACTCAGTGATGGAAGAACTGGAAAAAGCAGCTAGTGTGCCGGTTCCCACAAATGATGATGAAGACCTCCAGGTCACAATGCGTTCCATCAATGCCCGAACGGAACAGGTCCTGGAAGTGTCACTGACAGTCCATCCAGAGGACATCACGGAAAACCCACTTTGCCTCTGGAATGTGCTTGAAGAATGTTTTGCAGTAACCCCCAAAGCCAAACAGCGAAAGGTTGAAGTTAATTTCAGGAAACTTTCCCCAGAAGACAAAAAGCTCTTTGAGAAAGCCATGCAAAAAGAGTGGAATTCCTGGATTGAAAACAAAGTAACTTCAATATGCAAAAAGAAGGGGATACCTGCAGAACGAATCATCAAGTCACGTTGGGTGTTGGTTTGGAAGAAAAGTAGTGATCCTGACGACAAGTCAAAAGCCCCCAAAGCACGTTTGGTGTTGGTTGGTTGGCAAGACCCTGAACTTGGACGTATCCAAACGGATTCACCTACTTTGAGAAAAGAAACCAAACACTTGATACTGACCATTTGTGCCAGTTGTCGTTGGAAAATATGGGGAGCTGACATTAAAACCGCCTTTTTGTCAGGTGACCCTCAAAGCAGAAACATCTACTTTAAGCCTCCCAGCGAGATCAAAGAGTGGATGGGTCTTTCAGATGATGACCTGTTCCGCCTTGAAAAGGCAGCCTATGGCCTTGCTGAGGCACCCCGTGCCTGGTACTTGCGTCTCTCAAGAGAGATGTCCGCTGCAGGTCTGAGTGTTTCCAAACTTGACCCTTGCCTGTGGACCCTCCGAAAAGGGGATAAGCTTGTTGGTGTTTGTGGGGTACATGTAGATGACCTGATAGGAGGTGGAACCCCCGATATGGATGAAGTTCTGAATAAGATGCGAAAGACTTTGCCATTTGGTGATTACCGGACGTATACCATAAGGTACACAGGCATTGAAATCCGACAGGATCCAAGCACATATGCAATTGAGATCGGCCAGGAAAGTTATATAGATGCAATGGAACCCATACCCACCAAACAATATGGAAATGCATCAACTCCCTTGCCCGATGCCTCATTGATGAGAACATGTGCTGGCCAACTTGCCTGGGTAGCCAATGCGACCCGTCCAGATCAGGCATTCCTTGCGTCATATCTTCAGGGAATTCAAGATAAAGGAACAGTTGCACACCTTCAGATGTTCAACAAAGCTGTCCGAGAAATGAAGGAAAGAAAAGTGTGTTTACGTTTTCCTGCAGGAATACCCCTGGATGAGTTGCGCATACTGTGCATAACTGATGCTGGCTGGGGAACAAGATCCAATGGCGAAAGCCAAGGAGGTTACCTGCTGTGCCTGACCGTGCCAAAAATGTTTGAAAGAACTAGGGCACCATGCTGGGTAGTCGATTGGCAGAGCAAGAAGCTTCGCAGAGTTGTCAGATCTTCAGTGGCAGCCGAAACCCTTTCAGGACAAAACGGCCTCGACGCCATTGAGGCGTATCAAGCAGTGATGTTGGAAACAATATGGGGTGTAACACCAAAAGAGTTCAGAGAACTTACCCCTGAATACCCTGCCGGGTTAGTGCTTGATAGTAAGGGATTCTTCGATGCTGTAACCCGTAGCTGCTGCAGCCAAGCAATTAGCCAAGAAAGGAGACTGCAGATAGACTACGCAATAGCCAAAGAAACGACAGAACGCCAAAACATCCTCCTGTTCTGGGTGAACAATCTCAGAATGAGTGCAGACTGTTTGACAAAGCTACGTGGTGACACAAAACCTTTGTTTGAGATACTTGAGCAGGGGACTTATGAAATCACTATTTGTTTGCAGTCTGGAAAGAAGGAAAAACAACAAAAGCTGAACGATGGATGAGCCTTCCTCAAGGGCATGCAAGTTTGTACTGCCACCGTTTTGCCTTCAGCCAATATCCCTTTCCGTCGCTCCATTCGTTGTCATGCCATACCGGCAAAGCCGTTGAGAGAAACTGCAGTTTATCCAAGATAAATCTGGAGTAAGATAACAATGGGGGTAAACATGGGGTAAAAAATAATTAAATAGGATGTATAGTTCAAATAGTGCCTGCACATGCAAACAGCCTGAGCAAGCCGTTTTTCCGAAGCGTTTGAGCAAGGACTCAAGCCTGCATAGAGCCTTTGAGTTTCGACCTCCCAATCCCGAGGTTGCAATTGGCAACTTGCCAGTCCTTTTCATGGCGCATGCGAATAAGAAGCCGACCACCAGCTCCGATGCACCCCTCTCCGACCGGGAGATCAGCATGACGGTTGGATTGCTGCACCGCGCAGTGGCCTTCGGTCAAGTGCGAAAGCTCATGGATGTCTACAAGAACTCCATGGCACCGAAGAGCGAGCTTGTGCCCGCGGCCGCCTTGTTGAATGAAATGAATGAGGTGTATCAGAATGGTCCTTCGCCGAGCCTTGCTGGAATGTCAGATGCAGCAAAGCGCAGGATGATCTTCGATGAGGATGAGGTCAGCGAATGGGATAACATATCCGCAGCTGGAAGTGACTTCTTCCCTCCGGATCGTGGTGCTAGCCCGAAGCATGCAGCGAAGCCCAATATGGTCAAAGAGTCGCCTGACGGTGTTCCTCTGGCTCAATGGGGTAAGAATGTATGCAAGATGCCGAAAGTGAAGAGCCTTGGCCTCACCTATGACGAGTTGATCTCCAGGGCGAAGTGGGATGAGGATATCCATGGATACCTTTCATGGATCAAGTCAACATATGGCACTGGTGAAACAGGTGCCGCTCCAGAGAAGATCACAGCCGCCGTGGATTTGGCGCTCTACATGGAAGCCATCAACTGGAAAGGTCCAAAGGATCAGAAGTCTTCCAAATTGGGCTTCACCCGAACCTACAAGGACTGAAGTGATTGGTAGAGAAAGAGAAAAAGCACAGCTGGAATGGCCCCTCACATGGAGGGCGTGTTAATTTGGAAGTTGCTGCCGATGTGTTGCAATGAGGTCCAACTATGAACATGTGCGTGGCCGACGCTGTGTGGATCAAAGGGCCCTTGGGCCAGGTGCAATCCGCACTTGGCTTACGTTTGCAGGTGGAAGGAAAATAGATTGGGCGCTGCATAGCGCGAACCGTTGCCTATTCATCAATATATATATATATATGTGATATATGCATATGGTGATGATGGTGGTGATGATGATGATGATGGTGATGATGGTGATGATGATGATGATGATGATGTTTGCCTAAGAGACTCTAGGTTGGATTGCCAATATGCATCACTCACAAAAATTGGAATGCTTAGTATCTACCCATCCCAGAAACGGCGGATTTGCAGGTTCTGCCTGGTGATCCTCATAGAGAATGCCTTGCTTCTTGCCCAAGAGCTCCCGGAAATGCGCCGCAGTGCTGATGGCAATCTCTTGCCTCAGTCGAAGCTTTAGGGCGCCAGTGGAGGATGGGAAAAAGATAAACCTGTTGCGTTGAACCATGTGGGTGTGTCTCAAATCTCAAAACTGAGAAATCTTCCAAACTGGCAATGTGATTCGCCGATGTGGGGTTACCCCATCAGACAAACCTATGCGCTTGAAAACAAAACTCGACTAATCAAAGCCAATATTTTTGGAAGTTGAAAACCATTCGTTAGGCCATCACCAAAGGCCAGGCCAATGGCATGCAGCGGAACTGAGCCGATGACGAAGCGGGCCGCCTCAGTGTGAACGGATGCTGAATTGAAGAATCCTGGATGGTTTTTATTCCCCCAGATATCAAAGAGGATCCTATTTTCCATCCAGGAGATCTTTTTGATAGTTTGAGAAATTCATTATCAAGATCCAAAATATCAAAAGGAATGGTGTTCCCATTTCCCATTGATGTGACACAAGGCTTGGACTGAAAATCTGGGCGAAAAATCAAACCATTTTGATGGTTCATCATCATTTGATCCACTTTAGAAATTTCAATGTTGATTTTGGGATATTCTCCATTTTCAGACACAACCATGTTCAAAATTATTCACGGTAAAATACCAATTTGTACCAGATATTTGATTGTTAACCCCATTTTTTCATCCCAATTGTTTATGGCTCACTCCCAATTTTCGTTGCTCAATTCCCATTTCTGATGATTGTTTCCCAATTACGCTGATTGTTTAAGCTAATTCTTCCATCAAAATCTCCAAAAAAGTTGATGATCAACCATGATTACCCACGAAATCCCCATTAAGATCCCCTTAAATCCAACTTTTTCCTATCATTTTCCCATCATTTGATGGTTCATCCCCATTCAAACTTTGCCTAAAAATCTTCCAATCTGCTGGCCTCAGCAGCGCTCCAGGTGGGCTCCACATCCGCACTGTTTGCTGCCAGGTCTGGACACGGGCCGTGTCCAAACATCGATATGGACAAGTGCCGCTTAACTTTTTCATGAGGATCAACAATGTTGTACTGATTGGCATATACATATATACATATATATATATATATACATATATATATATACATATATATATATATACACATATGTTCGTTTATCTATGTATGTATATATATATATAAAGGTTATATAAGTGTCTTTTCTTCGTGTTGTTCATGTTCCGTACACAAAACACACAACATCAACAATGGGAGTTGCCTGCAGGGAGCTCCGAGGCACCAATGGCGCAGATGGTAACCTGACACCAAGTCTAAAGGTTCAGCCTGAGTTCCAAACCCATGATTGTTGCCTCTAGAACAATCCTGGCTGTCCATAGGAATATGTATATATATATATAAATGTATGTAGGGTTGAATAGGTATGTCTAAGTAGAAACACCAAAAATTGATGTATCTTCTTTCATTCGTGCAATGGAGTCAAAGTTAAATGTCGATGTATTTGGTCGAAGAAAAAAGATAGCAAGTCTCTGGGTCTGCGCGCTCTTCTCCTTCTCGCCTGTGCAGGTTGCAGCATGATGGTCACCGGCAACTTAACAAGCATCATTCAAAATACTGACTCCTTCCAAACAGCGAACCACGGACCAGTAAACCAGAGCTTCTGGGGGTGCCGAATCAAGAATTTTGCTCAGAAATGGCTCAAGAAGATCCCATCATTCCCGGATCATCCCTCAGATCCCTCAGCACCTGAAGGTCTTCTGAGTCATCGAGGATGCCAACTCATCTGCATGGTTCACCGTGGGCGATCCAGGGAGCTGGCTCCGGTCACTCCGGTCACCAGCTCCACCGGGAAAGCCACCATAGGGGATGCTGCTCCTGGATGCCATGGTGTCAGCATCCCATTCCAACAATTGGGGATCGAAAAACGACGATTTAGCATTTATCCCACAATCATCCCATGATCATTCCATTGTTGTCCAATTGTCGTCCCATTACCATCCCATTATCATCGTATTTACCACATTGCTATATGTCAAATGTATATAAGATCTATCTGTAGAAACATGCGCAGCGCTATATATTGTATTGTCATAGTCATCCCAATATCATGCCATCGTTCTCCACAATCATCCCATCATCCCATTTTCATCCCATGATTACAGGGTTTATCACATTACTTGTGGCCATGGGTTTACGGTGTAAGATCAGGTTATCGGGATGGTCATGATCATCATCATCATCATCATCATCATCATCAATGTAATTATATATGTACATATATATCTATATACTCCATATACTATATAGGCATCCCAAAATCACCATTTTCATGGGTGGAACAAAAACCATCCCCGAATGGGAGTTGTTTGTGGCAGCCAGCGTTTCCGTTATGATCTTTATCCCAATCAGAAAATCATCATAGGTATCCCATATTCTCCTATTGTTACGAGGATTAATCTGCTACTATTCATATATTATTGGCTTTATCAGACATTATCCAAGAATCATCCCATTATCATCCCATTATTATTTTATGGAAGTTCTTGGTCCCCAAAAAAAATCATGGTGTAGCATGGCTATTGATACACCCATACATTATTAGCTTTGTGAGTCACATGACTTTTGCTCCCTCAACGTGGTGACCCAACATGGAGCTTCCTGCGACTGCTCTGCTCGATGCCCGTGACCGATCTCAGGGCGTGTCTCACCTGCCTGGGGAGGTGCAAGGACCTTCAACTCAACGGTGGATTTGATTTATTGTTAATAATCACAATTGTCTTATCCATTCTCCCACAATCATCCCACCATTTTATGGATTCTTTGGATTGGTACAATTTGGTTGCTCTAGTGGAAATTCATGTAGAATTAGCTGTAACTGATGTTCAGAAAAACAAACGAGTATGTGAGTATGGGTCAGGTGCCACTGGGACCACAAAATTCATCCAAAACTCATCATTCCCAGTGGATCAGGGGCGTCCATAAAATGGGGACTGGGAATTTCGGTGCATCTCAGCCATCCACCCCACTGTGGACCCCACTTCAACTCCAGCTCTGAAGCCGTTTGCTGAGCTTTTGCACCTGACGAAAATGGCTGGCGAGTCCACTTTTGGCATTCTCAATGTGGATTTGTCTGAACAATTAGGGGAAAAAAATTGATTGTGAATCATCCTTTTACAGTACCATATTTGTTCCTATGAAGAATGACCATTGGGTGGTAAATCCACCAGTTTCAGACACCCGCCATATCTTGGGACATTGGACAAAAATGAGAGTCCAACATGACCAGGGTGTGTTGAGTTGCACGTGTAGTTCAGCTGTCTTGGCATGGAGGTTTCATGAATGGCTGTGGGTACCCAATAGCTGGATCGTTTCTATGGGAAAATCCCCATCTAAAATAGATGATGACTGGGGGTACCCCTAAAAATAGGAAACCACCATGTCTGTGTGTGTGTGCGTGTGTGTGCGTGCCAAAATAGCCCCAAAAACCAGTGGCTCGTCATGATTTTGACCCAATCCCGGTGGGATCCCCTGGAACCCCCAACGAACAGCGGCCTTGTAGGCGATCCTCCAGAGATTGTTGCACCTGGCCAGGATCTGAAAACAGCTACCCGGCCTGGTAAACATACAAAAAACCATGGAAAATCACCATTTTTCATGGGAAAACTATGGAAAACTCACTATAAATTGTCATTTTCATTAGCCATGTTAGTTTACCAGAGGGTAGAGCTCTAGAACTATATGATCCTTTTGCACTTATTCATATACACATCAACTGCTATCAGGTTTAATATCTCATCCTCTAGATGTTAGATATATACATCATATACTGACCAAAATCAAATACATCTTCAAGATCAGTATTTTTCCTATGTCAGCAAAATGTGATATCCAATGAATATAGTTAAATGCAATAAATTAATACTTTGGATATTATAATGCACTATTACTAATGTTATATCACTTCTCCAACTAATCCTTCGCATCCCATGGGGCCTCCGCTTCCTTCGCCAACTGATCTTCCAACTGTGCGATGCGCCGCTGGGCGTCGAGCAGTCGCTGACAGGTGTCCGAGAAGACCTCGTCCTTCTCCGCGAGCTGGCGCTCGGCCTGGTGAGGGCAGCTTCTGGCGATCTGGCGAAAATGTTCGTTTTATGGATGATTCAGCAACAAAAATAGATAAATGCATTAATAGATAGATTTAAAAATATACATATATATATATAACCAATACTGTAAATATATGCTATGTGGCTCATGGTCATCCATCAGATAATGGAAATCCAAACATACTGGATATTAAAATGTGTAGTGATGACCACCCTCTAATTGGGACGTCTAAAATTTGGCCATGTTCATGGAGAAACTCAGGATTTTGGGAAACACATCCCAGGGAAGATATGTTTTGTCTAAGGCATCATGGGGATATTCAAACATTAGGATAGTAATAACCAACCATGAAGTTTCGGTTCGGTGATTGAGTTAACCAAAAATGTCTGAAAGTGGTCAGTGATCATCATCCCTGTTTTTGGGTTTTCACGAAATAAAAACTCTGGATATGCTGGTCTGTGGGCGAAATTGTGTTGTGTCCTGCCAATGCCAATCCTGGAAATGGTAAGCATCAAATAGTCTCAATATCAATATGCAAATAAGCAACTGAAAAGTATTATATCAACATATCTGAATATAATTGGTCAATATCTCAGATAGTATTAAGATGTATTAAGTGACTGCCCAGTGTTAAAAAAAAACATCCGTAATCCTTACCTCCAGGGCCCGTTTTCTGGCAGCAGCCAGGTCGAATCCACGCTGGTCCAACTCAGCCTGGAAGCTGGCCATGTACCAAGGCATTGGTTGATTGATTCCATTGGTTTACTATGGTTTGTTCATGAATTCAGCGATGAGTCTCGATAATTCATGATAATTCTATATATATATATGTATATATATAGTATATACATTATATTCCTTAATTGAGTGATCAAACCAATCAATTGTCAAATTGCTTGGTCGATGGATTAGGTGGCGGGTCGATTCATTCATTCTTGAGCCAGGAAACTGAAGACAATCGCATGCTGTCCAGAATTTGATCAAAGAAAACCGATCGGAATACGATTTCAATCTCGCTTCCTGACACTTTCATCAGCACTTTCCTCCGAGTTTAGAGTTGGCTTCGTATCCCCCAAATCCAATGCTTAGTTTTTTTCCAAAAAAAAATAGCCCTTTGGGGATGAAAGCCCCATTTCCAGACAACCCCAGTCGCCTGCATCTGCATGTTGGCATCACGCAACGCACTGACGACCGCATCATCCTTGGACTTGTCCGTATCCTGTGATGAAACTCACTGGATCCCAATGATATGATGGGAAATGATGGGAATGTACATATATATATATATTGTATATATTATATGTAATCTATTATGTGTATATCATATATTATCTGTATATATATATGTGTGTAATGAGTTACAGTATATATCTATAGTAATATTGGAGGTGAAACCATCTCTATTTCCCAAGCATCCAGCCTGTGCTTCCAACTCTTGGATGCGTCTCTGCGCTGCCTGAAGCTTGCAACGACAGATGGGAGTGGAATCCCCCAACGGGTCCATTGCAGTTGTCCTTCTCTGGGGTGTTCTTACAAATGGTGCACCCCAAAATCATCCAAAAATTGCGGTTTTGAGATGTTTTCAGCAGGAAACCGATTGATGAATTTTGGGCTCTCCTACCTCAAACACACTTCAGCACTAGGCCATGGCTCCATCAGTTCTCTAGCAAAAGGTCATTGTTTTTTCTGGTGTGCACCATAGTCAATCAAATCTCCCAGAGGTGCCTGCAGTTTCAGCTCCAGATCTGAGGTGGTCTCCGCTTGACTCTTCAAGTGCTGCACCTTCCATTCATCATCGGAAAATGCTGCTGGAAAAGCAGAGGATACCCTCTGGTTATGTCAAAATAGCTATTGAAAATGGTGATTTATAGTGGATTTTCCCATTGAAAAAGGTGATTTTCCATAGCTATGTTAGTTTACCAGAGGATACAGTATTCGGATGTTCCACCTTTTGTATTCGGATGTGCCACTTTTTTGTTCAAGAAACCGTTGCAGCAGCGAGTACTGTCAACCAACCTCATCTGCAGAAAATCTGGTCCAAGCACTCATGTCCCAACCGCTACCACCAAACATCTTCGTTTGATGCGTCCATTCCGTCACAACAAAAAAACATCAAAGATCCCCTCTGGTAATTTAACAGTTCGCTTTCTTTGTAAACGTAATTTTTTGGCAGCAAAAATCCCAGCATATCCCATCCATCCCATCCCACTCCAATCATCCCATGGCCTCCAGCGCCAACTTCCTGCAGAGTTCCGCCATGTGATCCCCCGGCGTCTCCGGGCTCGAGGGCTCCGGCTCCGCCACCGCTGCCACCGCTGCCACCGGCGCCGGTGTGGGCTCGGGGGTCCAGGGGGCGGAGGCTTCACCTGGGACCCAAGGCGAAGGGGATCAGACCAAGGGGATTGTAACTATCTGTATGTATATATATATATATCTATCACAGTTCTTTGACGTGCACGTGAACACATGCACTGCGCTCGGCCGCTATGCAAACTTTTCATCCTCTGGAGACGTGGGTGATTGAGGATGAAGATGGGTGGATCAGCCCATCAGATCAATGCTGGGGGATCGACCCCAAATGGATAAAAATAACAACATCACAAATGCAAACAAGGAGTGGATCAACTCCTTCAGCACCGATAAATAAAACCTCACCACAGAATGATCTCTGTCTGACCCCATCACAAGTGCAAACGCGGAGTGAATCAACTCCGTCAGCACAAATAAATAAAACTTCATCGCAGAATGATCTCTATCTTGCCCGAAGTGATCACCTTGGGTGAAAAATAATAGCAAAAATGAACTATGCTCAGAGGAAATCAGATCGACGTTTTCAGAGCAGGGCACTGCGAGGCAGTGAAAAAGGAACGATCTCAGGAGGCACCTCCAACCCTCACAATGGTAAATAATAAACCATCATGGGGCTAGAGGTGGGCGGGACAATTCCCAAAAGAGATCGCTGATCAGATCTTGAGCCAAAATGGCACCAAGATCTGATCAGTGCCACTGACTCAAACGGGGTTGATCAACCCCACGCTCTGTGATCACAATAAATGAATACACAAAAATCTCTTCACTGAACCCGATCGGGTAAATAAAAATAAAATAAGATCAAACGCAACCAGTGCCACGAACTGTAACATTGATCCACTTATCCCTCACCAACCAACCGTAGATAAGTGACCCAATCACAGTTCTTTGACGTGCACGTGAACACATGCACTGCACTCGGCCGCTATGCAAACTTTTCATCCTCTGGAGACGTGGGTGATTGAGGATGAAGATGGGTGGATCAGCCCATCAGATCAATGCTGGGGGATCGACCCCAAATGGATAAAAATAACAACATCACAAATGCAAACAAGGAGTGGATCAACTCCTTCAGCACCGATAAATAAAACCTCACCACAGAATGATCTCTGTCTGACCCACGCCGCCTAGAGATCAGGAAAAACCGCTGGTATCGTATCCCATCCTAGAGACTGACCTATGTCTAATCTACGACGAGATGGTGGATCAGCGGGATTGGAGTCCGTTGGAACTCGATCGATGTAAAGATTAATGTGAACATCAAGAGCTAGTTTCCAGAAAACTCCTACTAATTCGCAAAGATCTTCACGGGCGGAATATCCTTTCACTAACGCGCCTTGAACAGGTTCAGAGTCCACAAAGAGCAGGGACCAAGAGCTGGAGATCCAAGGCTTGAAAGTCTGGAGCGCCACGACTGTAGCGAAGAGTTCGACCATGGCGATCTGTGACTTCCGCGGGATCCACTTCTCGATCAAGTCCATGCCCACTTTGCATCCGAACTGGATCGGTCTAGCGCCTTTCTTGAACAACACGCCGCCAATCCAAGGATCTTGCAAGTCGCTCTTCTGATCAGGGAAGCTGCCATCCGTGAAGATGACGTAATCAGCAGGTCGAGCGCCCGATGCAGTAATAGGCCGCGGAGGACCATGATCAATCAGCAGCTCCCACTGTTTCAGCGCGAGCTTGAGCGCAAGGTTGAGACCAGTCTCGGGAGATCTCGTGTACTGCCTCTCCGAGAGAGCTCTCAGAAAGGCCCTACCAATCTTCCCCCACAACTGTGAAGCGCCAAACATGAGCTTGCCGCGCAACATGCCTGCTTGGCCAGGCGACAAGATCTCGGAGGAGATGATAGACTTGATCTCGTCCAGCAGCTCCTCCTTTCTCGAAGGTTTGATCTTCAGGCACATAGCTTTCAAATTGTAGGTCACCCCTAAGATCGTGGGGTCCTCGCAGAGCTGGAGCTTCTTGGGGTCGAATTTGGCACCTAGCCACCAGTGGACCTTCTGAGCGATCTCGAAGGCTGAAGAGCAGGTGACTTCGGTTTCGAACCCGTACTTATCATCGTAGAAGTTGAAAGCCGCCACGAAAAAGACCCTGCGAAGTATATCGGTCATAGCCGCAGATCTACGATTGTAATTGTAGACCGCCGCTACCAATCCAAAAGAATGACCAATCATGACGAAAAATGAGACCTTCCCTGTGTCAGGTTCGCGAAGCGAGATCACGCTCCATCTCCGGTGATCAGGGTGGATAGGAATCTGGCGATAAGCTTTCCTTTCGTCCAGAACCCACCCTTGCAGTTTAGTGGAGCTAGAGCACGATGACCTCATCCACCTCAAAGCAGACACGTTCGCGTCCGTAGATGGCAGCTCAATCTTTTCCAGGATCCTGGAAGCCATGTTGATGCCATTGATCGTGGCACTGTCCACACCTCTGACCTTGTTCTTCTGCACCACTTCGAACCGCTGTGGGTCGGGATCCAATCTTCAGTGCCGAGGAACTTGTCGACCTCGTCTTTTGAGAAGAAAGGACCTGCAGTGACTCCTTCACGGACATCTTCCATAGTTGCCTCCCAGATCTTGGAGGTGTTCTCCGTCACTTCTGATCTTTTTACGTTCTTCAAGACCTTGTTGGAAAACTCCCAGGCCCGCGAAACAAGATCTTGTTCCGGCAGAGCATCATCAGGCAGCGGTAATTGCGGCCAACGAAATGAGCGCTTGATGTCGCCGACAATGGAGAAGCCATTGATCATCTCGTCCACCAGTGAGCTGTCAATACAGCGGCTAGCAGCGAGCAGCTCCCGCCACAATGCGACTTGTGTGACCGTGCCGATCTGAACAGGTTGGTCATCAGGTGCTCCGCGCAGCAGCGACCGCAGGTAGGGATCATGGATGGCACGGAGCTCCTGGTCCGTGAGCGGCAAAAGACGCTCAGCCCGATCAGCCCAAAACTGTAAAGCCCCTTACCGATGACCAAGCAGTTGGTGAGGCTTATGCACGGCGAACGCCAGAGCTTCTTGAAGATCGGGATCAAGCGCTGGATCCAAAGTAAAAGGATGTGGAACTTGTAAAGCTCGTTGAACAGCTTGTCCAGGTTCCATCTCGACCTGCAGACATGCGATCACCTTCGCCCATGCTTGGCAGAGAAGCGGCGGATAGACCTGAGCCAACTTGGTTTTGAAAATCTTCTTGCCCTTAGACATGACCATGCCCACCAAGGGTTCGTGAACATGAGGCCGCACATCCAGATCACAGGCGAGCGCCAGCGCACTAAGGTCGCAATCAGACAGGAGCGCTGTAGGCTTCTTGTGTTTAGATTGGAACCTGCACATGTCCAAAATGAACCGACCCACTCCAGCGCGAGCAGCCAGGGCGCGAACTGGTGGCATGTCCCACAAAAAGGATGATGCCGGGTTCTCCAGCGACCAATGGACGCCGAACTGGCAACATAAAACCAAGAGCTCTACTGTGAGTTCCATGAACTGGTTGCCCAACTCGACTCTTGCTTGATCCTGTCGAGATAGTTTTGGGCGTCCCCACAGGTTGTGTCGATCACGCAACGGTGGTGGGCCGCCATCATCTTTGCGAGCTTGGCTAAATGAGGAGCAGGGTGTGCCAAAATGAATAAAGAAAATGCACCCCGCGCGAATTAACTTGCACAAATGTTGAAAAACCTTGGGATCCAAAATATCCACCTCTTCGACGACAAATTCGTTGGCCAAGATCTCAATAGGGGGCAGGGTCTTAATACCACGAGCAATGATGGCTTGTGTCAGCCCTGCCTCTCCTGCAAAGATCTCTACGAAAAACTGTGTGCCAGATGGCACAAAACCAGAGCCCCAAAATGGTGAAGGAAAAACATTCGAGCAGTGATTGCTGTCAACCGTCTTTACCTCATCCAATGGAGCCATTGGTTGATCACCCATTCAGTGATTGCCCACCATGGAGTGAGCGGAGCCGCAGACCATGCACTGATGCTTGAACCTGCACTTGTCGCCCAGAGAGCATCCCATGGTGGAGTTGAAATAATGACACCTCTTTGGGCCAGACACGGAGCTGGCGGCTTGCACGATCGCTTTCCACTCTGTGTCTGGGATCCGCTTGTCCTTGCTGACCTTCTCATCTCTTGCTGAGGCTGACTTTTTGTCAGCTGGATCCTTCTTGACTTTAGACTCCTTGGCTTCACGGAGGAGCGCCTTGTTGCGGAGCCGCTGGCGCTTGTTTCTATCTTTGTTGGGAGAGCTCTTGGGCGCCGCTTCGACGACCTTGTCTTGTGAATCGCCAGTCTCGCTGGCGTCCTCTCTGCGCCGATCGACTTTGGAAAGAACTGCCTTTGTTCGGGCGTCGTTCCAAAGGTACTTGTGGTTGTTCAGGATCTCGATGATGGCGTCCTCGAACGTACCATAAAGTTGGCGCTGCTCAGCCTGCAACCTGTTGACCTTCTTCCTGATCAAGGAGTCAGCAGCCAAAAGGTAAGGCAGGCCCGGGCATTCCGAGCGAAATTGCTCGAGCTCCTGCAGGTAGCGCAATGGGCCAGCCGCACGAGAGTATGTGCAAATGTTGAGATATTCCAAGGCCATGAAAAAGGCATGAATCCTGTTCATCATAGTCACAGAGTCGGTGACCTGATCAGGTTCATCCGCCTTGGATATCGTCAAAAGATCCTCTGCGTTCTTGGAGAGCCCAGACTTCTGCACTATGCTGTCTGAACGTGTCCGGATCTCGGCCACAGAGTAATACGGCACCATGCCGTGAACCAAGAAATCGCGGCTGAGCTTCTCCACGAACTTCTTGTGAGGCTCTTTAGCATCCAGCAAAATGACATCTGGATGGGCTTGAACAAAGCGCGCCCGAAACTCAGCGTGATCTTCTTGCGCCATCTCTGGAACCTTGTTGGGGTCCTCTTCCATGCGCGCACGCCGAGTGGCGAACTGCCCTTGTAGAGCGTGGCATGCATGCCATACTGCTGCGAGCTGCATCAATGCGAGCTCTCTGGCAGCATCTGTCGTGCCAAGATCTGCCTCGGCAATCATAGTCCTGAGCGAGGTTTTCACTGC